GCAGTGGCCGAATTTGAATTGCAAGGCAGCTGCAAGGTGGACTTTCACTTTATAGACTCAGACAGGGCGCTCAGAAAAGAAAGAGCTAGACGTCTCGTCTTTGAGAGTCTCGCCAAAAATCGTGATTGCGCACCAAGTTCCACTGGGCCCCACGTACACTGATTCATCTAGTAGTTCTGGAGGTATTAGGAGCTCCTAAGTTCGTGCCCAGATGCACGTACCGGGGTAGATGATCAACCCTTGGATACCCACGTGTAGGACGTTGGAACAAAAGATAGCCGAAATCACATTTAAGATTAGTTGCGGGGTCACGTGTTGAGTTCTAAAGTAATGGTTGCAAGAAGAAGCGGCGTCCGACCTTGACAGTCCAGGGTGCTACTTCAAGATGAAACTCCAGCTGCGATTGAGAAGGCGTCTATGATTGGAGCGAACTCGGAAACAACTCACATCAGAGATTGTAGAAGTACGTGGATTGGAGAAGCACACGACAGTCAACCGTACACAATTTGACGTAGGAGGTGACGCTGAAAATATTAATTGTAATACCTGGACGTCGAAGAACTCCAAACGGATCCAATTTTGGAGTATATATAAGGTCAGTTTTTCAAGACACTCTTGCTACCAAGATCCTTCGGCATCCGATAATCATCTCATGATCAGGTGGAGCTGGCCTGAGGGCTCTTATGGCCCCCAATGAGTAGTGCATATCTATCATAGCCGAACTGAAAGACATTTTTCCTGTAAAATGGGTGCATTATAGTTTTTGTACCTTGCAATAATCACAGCATTAGAAACCACTTAGCATGGTCTGTTGCTACACAAAAGCTTCGCGGATGGCTTACAGAGACGGTGCTCAAATTCTATCGGCGATCCTTGCGGAGATTTGAGGAAAGTATCGATATCCTTTGTAAAGAGCGTCTAAGGACAGTCGATATCTACAACTGGGGCCGCGAAGAAAGCTCATTTTAACTTCACAGTAGCCACGCGTTGATCATGCGACGTCCTGGAAGGAGCAGCTTTACCAGTGATCGAGTCGGACCGAAGGCGGTTTATCAAGGTCAATGAAGTCCATTCTGCAGTCGGATAACAAAGTGCATCATGCGGCCCGACAGTATACACGGACGCTTGTGTAGCCCGGGCGCTCGCGTCAAGGACCGAGAAAGAAACAGGACGGCTTAATGCTGCAAGAGACAGCCGCCACGCTCAGGCTTGAAGGGGGCGTTGCGGGATCCAGTCTTGAATCTAGAGAGCGATTGGATCCCGCTCATCCGCCAAGCTCTTTCTTACGGTGCAAGTTCTAGAAAAGGTGATTCTCAACAAGAACAGTATAGCGAGCTCCGTTGCAGTGACCGGCTGCTGATAAGCTGGCGTAGAGCCGCCCTGCCGCGCGCAGATTCCCCGTGACAACCTGGCCACTGACTATGAAAGAGTGACCACAAACAGTCAGATCTTGCCGATCTCGATCTTTTGATCAGTGAAAGCTCAATTGAGGAGTCAGAAGCTACGGACCCAAAAAAGGAATCATACGAGAGCCACTAAACTTCCAATTTAAGCGTAAGTACAACGGCTTCGGTATGAGCTCTCTTTATGCATGCGGGATCTTGTGAGTTTTTTGTCTCAGAACTAAAGTTTTCAGCCGCGACGCACATCAAGAGGGCCCACTTACAAGAATGGACTCTTGCGGATGACAAAGCTTGACGAGACGCATGAAATCGGTGAAATGGATTTAAGTCAGCACGATCGAGAGACGTCAGAACCGCGGGCAGTATAAGAGTCTTTGAGATTAAGTTTGGGCCAAGTAGTTGCAGCCGGGCAGAGACATGTGGCCATTTGCTTCGCTTCCGGCCCTTTTCTATTCCACACAGCATCAGACAGGGTCAGAAGCGCTGGTGGGATTTGACCCATCAGACCGTGCTTTTCATGGCTGTATTTTGTCCGTTGGCCGGGCCGGCATTACGTAAGGCGCGGAAAACAGTAAAGGGCCAGCAATTCAAAGTGGCCGGCTGACGACGTTCATTGTTCAGTGATCAGAAGTCCGAGATTGAACCGTTCCATAAGTCAAGGGGACGTTTCTTGATGTTTGGAACCGGCATTCGAGGTGTTGAAGAGTCGTGACGTAGCGACTGGCATCATGTTCAGTTCGCAACCACTGTCGCTGAACTTTTCGGCCCAAGCTTGCACTTCTCGTCAAAAGCCTTCAAAGGAGCTCGTCAAGCTGAAGACTTGAGCACCAAAAACCGTTCTTTTGGGAAGATAACGGCGCCGGATGCAAACGCTTGGCTTTGTTTCTAGCGGAATACCACACGGCGGCCCAAAGACGAGAGCGCGCGCGGGGCTGCCACCACTAAGCGGGCGCGCGCGTGTTGACGAGAGCCAAACATTGGACAGCCGGACGGCTCACCAGCTCTGCGCCAGTGCGCCAACAACCATCGCGGGATTCGTCAGGAGTGACGTCACACAGCGACATGATTCCCGCTCAGTGTGTCCCAAAATGGACGTTTTGCCCAGAGCAAATCTCTGTTCGTCACCGCCATGTCTTAGAATTCCGACTCCTCTTTGATGCATGAGACGATTCAAAAAATTCCTGCAAATGAAAATGATCCCTTCAACACTCTCCGCTCATGGTCGTAGTGAAAAAAACTGCGTGATCGATTAGATGCATAGCCCATATCCGTCAGGATGAGAGATTAACACGGTAGAGCACAAGAGGCGCGGATCGACCCTGGAGAGCAAAGTTTGCCAAAGTATATTACTAGCAAGTGATTGACGTGAAAGCATCAGGGTCGGTACATGAGCCTGCATTTAGAACTACGCTCCAAGTGCAGTCCGTCTGGTCACCGCTTGACTAAAAGTGTTTCGATAAGAGCAGACGTGGTCTCGGAGCCATCGGTGAGGTTCTGAGTGGCAATGACTTCTCGTCCTCATTCTTTGCCTCTTCATTGGCAGCACTCACGAGCCCAGATCGCTGGGGATCTCTCAATGCACGAAGGCGTTTGGCGTACAGAACCGGGCGTGATGGGCGTGCCGAGTGCGTGACACGGACAAATCAGTTACAAACAAACTACAGTTGAGTGTGTGAGTGCACTGCGAAAGATGGACGCTTGTCGCGCGAGCGCTCTTGACGCGCTTAGCGCCCAGGGCGGACGAGTTGGTGAACTTAGCATAAGACTCGAGTTGATATAGCATAGCGGCCGCGCGGGCGGGACGCGCGCTTAGGGCGCTCGCGTTGTAAGCGCTCTTCTGGCGCCGGATCCGGGCTTGGCGCGCGCAAACAGCGCGGGACACGGGCACACAGTGGACCTCGCGCGCGATTTCGAGTGAGAACCTTAAGGACGTACACGTCTCGCCAGTTGCTTGAATCCTAGGCTTTCTGAGAAGTTGCTCGAGGCGGCAACGTGGACACACGTGCTGGACCTTTTCGAGTACCAAGAAGATTCTGGCTTTCAGAATCTTCAAAGCACTGGTGTGATAAGACGAAGCGCGGGGTCGACACAACCATAAATGACAAACCCTTGCTTTAAGCCTGAAAAAGCGCCCGTAAATAAGCCCGACTTTACAAAGAAGATAACCTAGTACGTAGGAAGTGCATCGTCAAGTCGAGGAGCACGTTACGGGGCATCAGCAAGTCCAGGCAAGGATTGGACCTTTTGTCCCAGTTCGATCTGTGCGCAGTCATTGCCCGAGTCGCAACAACAGCTAAAAGCGGGCAGCGTTATTCATCAATTCAGAGCTATTGGCTTGTTCTCGGACTAGTTACACACCAGGCTCACGAGGAAGCTCGCGCCGGCGGACTGTGCCGCAAACGTAGGATCCGGTTTTTGTGTTGGCAAGGGGTCAAGAAGGAAAGAATCGACAGAGCGACGTGCAAATTCTGGTGAAGTGATGACGTTACAGAGACTTCGTAACCCAAAATTTCGGTTGAGCGAAGTCGACCATCTGGTGGATGAAGATCTTCAAGTGGAGTCGACAATCTCGAGTCCTCGTTCCGAAATCTAGCGAGGACAGTGGTATTTATTGGGATAGCAACTTGGATCCCCGCGCTTTGAGAACGATTGCATCTTGTTCGGGCCCCTGATGCCTTGCGCGGGCACTTCTGTTGGATGCTTGAAATCTCAGCAAAGTCGATCCTTGTGCGCAGCACGCAGAATCGATTGCGTGGCATGTTCTTCCAAGCTTGTACGTACAAGAGATGATAAGGTGACGATCAAAGCGGTGGCAAATGGCATCGAGCACGGTGAACTGCGACGTGACTCTGTTACCAACAACATCGGCAGAAGTGGGCTGTACAATCATGTGCCCAAATGCGCTCATCATGGCCACCTGAAGATTGACATCGCCGAACTCTCATCGAAAAGTAGCGAAGAACAGGTATCCCTATGAAAGCTTAAACAAAGAACGGAGAGTCTGTGCGAATATTGCGCGCGAGCGGGCGCGACAGTCGACACAAGCCCGCGAGGCGACACTGCGCGCGCGCGGCGCAAGAATTAGTCACCTGCCATCTTGCGGTGCCCCGAGTGTGCTTAGACGGTGCTCGCGCGCAGTGAATGATTCAACAGGCTTCCCAATATGAGGAACCCAGCACACTTGGCTGTTGGTCGACATGGCATGTAACTCAAAAATCTGGCCGCTGAGGCAATCTACATGTATTGTCTGTGTTTGACCATAGCTACGTACTCAAAATCAGACGTCCTGGCGGATTGAGCTCCTCTTCGCGCCTCTCCATCTGTGACGACGCTTGAGCGGTCCTGCATACAGGGGTTTGCATGTCTGAGCCTCCCACGTGGGCGCAACAGGAAAGAGTGGCTTTGATCGCAGAAGGATTTAAAACGAAAAAGGCACGACATTACAACATTCCAAATTTGATCGCAGCAATCACACCTTGACTGCACACACAAACCCGACACCAGCTCCCCCCGCCTGATAATGAATGAGTAACGAGTCTGTCATTTTCTCGACGAAGAGGCAGGCAGCTTTTGCTTCTCAGATCGCTTATTCGAAGCTCACCAGCTGCGTCTCTGACGGACGGGTTGCGACCTAGCCACCATATACGCGCGCGCCGGCCCCATGTCGATCTTCTTGAGGGCGCTCTTCTGGCCGCCGTCGTAAACCCCTACCAGATGGTCGCGCAACTCGGGCGAACTGCCATCAGCCGGGACGAGCGGCCTGCCGGACCCCTTTTTGCAGGAGCCCAGGATGCGGAAACAGCGGAACTTGGTGTAGACCCCGGCGTCCCAGATCCCCTCGCTCTTACCGTTCCGCTCGTATTCCAGGAACGGGACGCTCTCGGCGAGCTCGTCAGAAGGAGGGTCCTCGAGGAACGCCTCGAAGCATTCCTTAAAAAGCAGGCGCTCCTCTTGGTTCTCTACGTAGAACCCCTCCAGCACCTCGTGCGCGCTGTGCTTGAACCCTCCCTTCGATTCTCCGTGCGCCGTGCTAGTCTGGAAGGACAGGTCGAGCGAGGAAAGGCCCAGGACTCGGGAGAAGAAGGCCGCCCGTAGCTCGGCGAAACGAGCGAGGCGTTCCGCGAAGACAGCGTCGACCCGCTCCGCAACCGAGCACTCCAGATCGAAATAGAGGCGAGTAGGGAGCTCCGGGTACATCACCTCGTACATGTTGCGCTCGACGGCGAACTCTGCCAGGTGCTCGTCGTACTTCTGCAGCGCTTCCGCGTCGGCGAAGGTGGTGTACCGCTTGGTGGCGGTGTCGTCGCGGACGTCGCCGGCCGCCAGGATCTGGTGGCCGTGCGCTCGCGAGTACGCCCGAGCTCGCTCTTGGGGTCCCGCCCCCCTCGCCTCGCAGGGTCTGGAAAACCAGTGGGTGCCCAGGTCAATCATGTCGGGAACGACCTGCGGAGATCACGACCAGTCACAAAGCGCCACCTGGCACGACAAAAAAGCAACGTGCTCTCTGGACAGGCGGCCAGAAGGACGGCCCCGGACAGCAGGGGGCCGCTCAAAATCACTCGGAAACCGCCTCCTGTCCTCCCCGTCTACCGAGAATCCCAACATTCCGGCCGTACGGTTCCGACCGTACCCCCCAGGATCCACTCGCCGATCCCACCATACCCCCCACTTTCACCACAAAAAAGCACGCCTTTACTATTGTTTGTTTTTAGAGGGACAGAAGGACAGCGAGTCATTTCCCGATTGAATCTCTGGAAATTCCCGACGTCCTCGGCCGTCTTTCGCCGTCCCAGGGGGCCTGACCACCGACGTTCGTGAGGCATGCAGCTTCGAGAAAGAGAGAGACAGGTGAAGCCTCACATGAGGAAGGTCGTCGTTTCCGACCGCTGCTGCGCGCTCGTTGTCAATGGCTGCATAGAACGTCGCGTCTTCTCGCGCGGTGCTCGCGTCGTTCCTGAAGTCGGCCAGAGATCCGCTGGTTCCCGTCTCGCTGGAGCGCTTCTCCCTATTGTCCGCGGGCTGGACGCTGTCGTCGCGCTCGTTTGAAGAGCCGGCGCTGGGCGAGGCCCGACTCGGAAGTGGTGCCTGTAGACACAACAGCCAATCAGGGAAGCACAAGCGACGTGACGAGAAGATCTTACCGGCAACTTCGATGCAGGTTGCCGAGAAGACTGCCACGGACTACTGGGGGCTGCCAAGAACCACTCGAGAACCACCTCCTGTCCTCCACGTCTACGCAGAATCCCAACTTTCCGGAGATGCGGTTTTCGACTATACCTCCTCGTTTACGCAAGATGACCTTACCTCCGCATATGTGCAGTAAAACCACGGCTCTACTATTTCGTTTTTAGAAGGACAGAAGGACAGGGAGTCGTTTCCTTAGTGAATTATTGAGAGTACCTGACGTCCTCGGCTGTCTTTCGAAGTCCCAGCATGTAAAGCCTAGGCCAAGCGAATGTTGATAAGATATGAAAAAGTGAGTTGTCTAAATGATTTGAAAACAAAACCCGAAATTCGTATGACATGGATTCGAGATAGATTGTCGTGAATCCCAGTTTACCCCAGTTCCGACATGACATTGACGAATACAGAGTGGAGATAAGCAAGAAGTCTTTGGTCACATGACCCAAAAGAACCTGGCACACATAATCCGCCCCCATATCCCCCATGACTCGTTAAAAGCCTGAACGTGCTTCTACTGGTCAACCCTGGAAGACACACAAGGACTGCAAAGTCGTTTCCTGAAAGAAATCAGAAAGATCGACGTCATCGGTTGGCTTGCTGAGTGGGTCGGCTGACACCTGTCACACCCCAATTGGAGGAAAGTGCGGGACCCAAACACAGGTTGTTTCCAAAATGAAGTTTGCAGTTGAAGGTACAACGCTCACCCCCGGCAACATGCTGCCTTTCTGCTCTGCTTCCATGAGCTCCTCCCCGCTGCAAAGGTCATCACCGAAGGCCTTGAAGGACCGAGGCTCTGAAGCCGGGCACCCATTGGAGCCTCGATTCGGAACTGGACTCTGGCAGGTGAGGGTGGGTATATATGAGGTGAATCGAGCTCAAAAGTTAGTTAGAGAATGCCGTCAAGGTGTTGGAGCCTTCAAGTTGCCGGGGACTGTGTTTCTAAACAAGCTGCAATTGGAGCTATATGAAACAGAGCATCAGGATATTATTCAGCACAAGGAGATTATCATGGCCACTTGAATCCTTTTGATCCTTCCTGTACGAGCTGGCGTTTCAACGCCACATGGCCAAAGCCTGATGACTTACAGCAAGAACCTATCTGACAACGAAGATGGGACTTGAATCTCAGGGAACCCCGTGGGCACTCTTCAGATTTCTAGAGTTCAAGGCAGGGTTCAGACAGGCTTGAATCCACCTTCAAACCTTTAACCACTTCAACGTGGTCATTCCCAGCTGGTGCTCAATCTTTTCTCAAGGAAAATTTCAACTACATGGTGACTACATGGTAACTACATGGTAAGCTTAAAGCTTGTGAAAGCTTGTCATACGCTCTGGAATTGGTTCTAGACCAGGCCCGCAACGGCAAAATCTGCGAGGAAGTCAGGACATCCGAATTGTAGTTGGTAGGCACTTCTTGCGGATCAGTTCAGCAATACGTTTGCACACCGGATCTACCATGTGCCCTACCTTAATCGCGGCACCTACCATGTTTTCCACAGTGGACTTTCGCAGGACCGAGAACAGAGTATACACCCTGAAAGTATGCAAGAAAACCCGCTCCAAAGAGAAGCAGAAAGATACAGATCGCTTGGTACTTCAATGGTGTGGTCTTGCTCACATTTGGTGGTATTGTGGGAAGAATCTTAAGATGAGTAATGAACGTAGGTCGGTTTGGCAAACTTCGAAGTAATTCTAGAGACGCTGAAGGTCGCACATTAGGCCAGGCGGTGATCCAAACCCCCCCTCGTGTGGTGACATCTCACAGGACAACATGTCATGCATCACATGTCATAAGACAACTCAAAAGCACAAATGACTCAGGATGTCATGAATCATTTCAATGAAAGGTTTGACCGGTAACAAGTCACTGTCAAACATAAGATTGTTGTTTCTCAAATTGCACACTGCACCATCGGAGAATTATGCTGGTAGGTTCTTCCGACTTTCCTGCGTTGCCATTATCTCAGACCAAACCGCCAGCTCTCCCACAACCATCTTCTCACACAGACACGAGCCGGTTACATAACTTCGTGACTTCGTGACAGCTCAGCTTCCAAGTTCTCCAGTCTAGACTCTAAACCCTAGCTAAGTTTTGAACACGACATCCTTTAACAACGTCATTATGATCTTAATGGAGTCCATGAGTGTCCAGACAGCTAACCACTCCCACTCAAGGCGGCCTCTTTCACCACTGGCACAAAGCAGATTTGAGAGTATCTACATGAGCCAGATATCCTGCCTTAAGCAAGCCGATTTATTCATTCTTGAGGCTGCACCATTTACAAAATTTTTGCAGGAGCCATGGGAAGAGCAACAGGAGCAGGAGCAAGGTGGAAGATGATGCTGGGTGGTCCATAAGTGGTCCATAACTCTGCTGATACACCTCTATCGAAGTGCTGACCATTGAAGGCCTTAAGCAGCTTTTGCATTTTCTTACATGTTACATTACGTAATTCTGCCTCAATACAGAAGGACAAACCCAACGTCGGTAACAAGCAGAGAAAGGAGAGCACGGCGCAACCACCGCCATCGCAACATCCGTCGTCCATAATCTGATTAAGGCTTTGCACAAGCAGCACATATTCATCCCTCGTAATCCTTCCCGCTAAACGAACATTCATATCGGTATCAAATCTACCACCATGAGTGTCAACAACAACCTGATGCGCATTTTTCTGGGGGATCTCGTGGACTGTGATGGTAGCCATGCGCTTACGAACTTGTTGCAAATGCCCTTTGCCTCCTCGTCGTCTTTACCTGTGTGTTGGTTTTGCCGACTTGAAACCTCACGGTGAGAGCGGTCCACCAAATGGTAGCCCAAACTTTTATGTAGGTACACTATCTACTAAGGCTTGTTGTTTACTGAGTTTGAATCGCCAAACGAGTCACCTTGAGGATAAGGCAGTGATACGGTATACGACAATATGTATGTTGACATATTTTCAGAAGGCACTCCCTGCAAACGAGAATGTACACACTCTGTCGTCATCACAGCGCGAATGTGTTTTGCGGTGGCCAGGGGTTCGAGAGAGGTTGCCTCGCTGGGATTGGCTGAGGGCAGAAATACATTGGCCGCAGTTCTGTTGGAAATCGCTACATTTTCAACTGTCGCAGTTTTCCGGTTTCCAACGGAACTGCGGGTAATACATTGAACAGTTTTCCCGGCAGTTGAGTCCGCGTGACCCCCCCGAAACAGCGGCGCTGCGGTGCGCCACATTTCAAATTGCTCTACCGTACGTACCGATTCTGCCGGTCTGCACTTCTCTGGGTCGGTAATAGGTATGCCTACCGTCGGGGAGGCAAACCGGTGGCCAGGAAGTCTCTGTAAAATGACCTCCAAAGGACCTCGCAACCTCGGTGAGGTCCTTTGGATCCCTAGCTCGCAGTTCCGTTGATTCCGGAAGATATAATCTGAAAGTCCATTCATCCATTTCACCGGTCGGCCCCGGAACATGGAATACTTGACCCCCAGTATTCTGTATTCCAAGGTTTCAAAAAGGCAGTATTCCGTATTCTAGGGTGCTCAAGTATTCTGTATTCCGTTTTGCAAATGTGACTTTTGACATTTTGAAAGGTACGTAAGGAGTGCGCTTGTCGTGTGAGTTCTTTTACAATCTTGTTTCGTTTGAAGCATGCTTTTGGATGTCGTTTTACTTCGAAGTCAAGTATTTTGCCGTTGTTTGCCACATGTTGTGTAGTATGCTCGGAAAAGCCTTGTATTCATCGAGCACGATCGGACAGTCTCGAGATTCCCTCAGAACCGTGCAGACTACGAACACGCCCAATGGCGTCAAAAGGTCCTTCATGGGCGGTCTGGGAACGTCGCCGCGAGTGTGGCTTTTCAGCCTTTACAGCTGATACGGGTGGAAGCTGTAAAGCGAAGGCCGCTTAAGAGCGCCCATTTGAGTTCCAAATGAGACCAAAATCGACGAGATGACTCACGGCAGGTGTCACGCACAGGTACGCGATATTGGTGCTGGTGTCTGGAGATCTTGATAGCAAATTAAGCTTCTCGTTGGCACGATCTGATAGTACTCCTGGAATCTCCTCTGAAGTTGCTGTAAGCGGACACGCCCGATCATGGCTTCAGAAGGTTTTCAAAAGATGGGGGACGTCTGCCCCAGTCCTGGGTTCCCGGCCGTTGTGAGCGGGACTAGCTGAATCAAACTTATAGACAAAAAATGGAATCACTGCAGGTTTCACCAGACTCCTGATTCAGGCGGGCACAAGCTCCGGGCGATGCCACGTGGCAGCGTCGCGCGGATCCTAGTGAAATACTTCACGATTTTGAAGCTCCGGCATTTGCGGCAAGCTCCTGCCGACGCCCCATTTGTAGCAAGTTATCCGAATCATATGTTCCCATAGCAAGTTACCAGTGCCGTTTCACAGAGATATCCACAGTAAGAATCAAAGAGAGAGAGGAGGCACGTCATTTAGATTGATGATTGAAATCGTGTTACGGAGTCGAGCACCAGGACAAGCGACGGGTCAACGAACCTTGTGACGGAGCGCTGCGGCTTTGCTAAGATTGCATGTTGGCTCGGTCTACATGGAGCAACCAGAATTCGAATCTGCTAACGCGCACCTGAGAGTGGAAAGAACGACGAAGCTTCTCGAAAAGACCGACGAAACACTAAGACGCGCATGACGGTCGCTGGTAAAAGATCTGAATACTGACTGGCATCCTGATGGACCGGCCACTGTCTTGGGGCTCGTCCCATTACAGCATTCATTGCAGAAGCAAAACTTTGATTCAAAGTAGAGGTGAAATCCTGGCGTTAAGTGTTCCTTCGAAATCGTGTCGGGGAGACAGGGCAAAGCGTAGGGCAAAATGAAAGCCTATACTTACAATTCGTGGCATTTGGAAAGACGCTGCAGAGCTTTAAGGTCCCAGGCTGGTAGTCTGCAAACCTAAAGGTGAGTATTACGGTGCGCTGGAAGATAGCACAAAAAGGTCCTGAACAACCCGCAAAACACGAAGAAACTCCGCCACTTTTTGACGCAGTCAGGATCAGTGGGACAATCAACAACTTCTCGGTGTAGACTCGGATCTCCAGTCACGCAACTGTGAACCTTGGTAGTCTTTTCACGTCAATTGGCAGTTAAGAAGGCACCTTAATATATATGAGGCAACATCTCAGCATGAGTCGTCACTAATAGTGCCAGTGAGAAGCTTGCGAACCGAGGCCAAGCAGAAAAAAGCGGCAGCACGTCCTTTTTATAGTGTGCGGTCAGAATGTTTTAGATCGGTCCAGCGAAGCAGTTGGACGCCTCTTAGTAACAACAAAGGGACAATGAACATTTGAAAAACAGACGTTGGCCAGCTAAGAAAGTGCGCGAATAGGTTGTCTGTTGCATCAAGCATAATTTCAAACGTGAAGGCCCTTCAAGGCCTTTATTTCTTACGACACATATAGCACAGATTTTCAAGGCGGCAAGTGGCACCACGTGGCATCAGCCGGTCGATTCCTCCAATCAGGCTGAGCTCCGCGTCATCGCCAAGGACCGATTACTTTCGGATTAGCGCTTGCAGATGAGGACGTTGCGACGAAAGGTTTTGTTTACGTGAGGTCACCACCGACTCGGTCTGATCCTGAGACACATGCGGGTTAGGGCAGACAATCGAGCAAAAAAGCGAGCGTCGCTCGAACTACAACTTCAGGCCTGGCAGATTGGAGCAAGTAGATATGGATATAACCTGGATCAACACGTGATGGGCGATCAGAACAGAGCTTTGTTA